GCAGATTAAGTGCAAGTGCTAATTCAGGTAGTAATTAAGTAGTTACTAAGCATGAATCATTATTAATTAAGTCTTTGTTCATTATTAATTAAGCCTTTGTTCATGCTTTATTAAGTCTAAATAAGGTGTAGTTATTATAAAGTGTTACCAAAAAAATGAATACTTAAAAAAAAATAAATCTACCAGAGTTAAGAATTAATGCCATATTTGGGCAAATTGTGAAATTCTTCAATACTTTAAGAAAAAAGAAACAAGCCTTTCTGTTTATTTGTAGATCTCAGTTTGTGTTTTTCATCGTTTTCAATAATCTACAGAGTTTACACAGTCATGGAAATTCAAAATGCATTTTTCAGGCCTGGAGAAATCATGGAATTTTGTAAGTTCCATAAACGTTTTGGAAAAGAATCTCTTTCCCGCAGCTCCAGTGTTGTGTTCAGTTCTCATGAGTTTGTTGTGATTATTTCTGAACGTCTGAGTCTTTTGTTTAAAAGAGACGACAATAAAAACACTGACAGGATTTAAAATTTTCAAAAACTATAATCCCAAACCATAAGGTGAGAGGAAAGAGTGAAACATTTCAGATTTACACTAAAAGTCTGATCAGTTCTACACATGTAGGAGCTGGAAACTCATGGAAAATTCACTTTAACTCATGAAAAAGTCATGGAAAAGTTTTAAAATGTTGTCAGTGAAAGAGTGAGACCCTGAATAGAAGTTATTTTAAATATAATTGCATTTTAGCAGTATGTTTGTTGAATAATATTTGTAAGACTTCTCGGGCTTTAAATGCAGGAAAAACCTTTTGATCAGTTTTTTCTAGGGTCGTACGGAAAATACGAACATCTTCACATTTTGTTTTCCATTCGATTTGCATTGGACTAAACAATCAGTGACATTTTGCAGTTTTAAAATTCTCCAAAAATGCAGATTTCTACAGCCAATCCTCCGTCTGTACAAACACAAAAGGTCTGGAGCAGAGTTTGACTTTTTTTTTTGTCTTAAATGTCGCTGATCAAAAGTCTGCAGTGTCACTTTTACCCAACTCTAATTTTAGAACCTTTAGTCAAGAGAAAACATGTACGTTTTATCAAAGTCAGAGGAATATGTCATCAAAAAGAAAACCCCTGACGTAAAACAGATCTGTGCCTCTTTTGTAACGACATGAACCCACCACTAGAGGTCGTCCTCACAGCGTCAGAGCCTCCACACTGTCCTGGACACGAGTCTCAGAAGAGCAGCTCCACTTTTTCATTAAGCAAAACAAACTCTGGTCTGAGCAGCTCGTTACAACAACAAGATTTACTTTTTTTAAAAAAATACAATTTACGTTTTGCAGAATTGAGTTTTTGGCTTCAACAAGATTTTCTGTTTCTCATTTGGCCCCATGGAAAAAACAACTTGGGTGGTTCAAGAATGATCCAGAGAAAGTTTCAAAGATCTGGACTCTTACAGGACACTGGGGCTATCAGGAAGTCCTCGGCTGATTGCTAGTTGTGTTCTGACGTGTGCAGGTTCATGTTCATGTTAAGTCCGTCATGGATCTGCACAGGGTCTCACTCTTTTTCACTGACAATATTTAAAACTTTTCCATGACTTTTTCATGAGTTAAAGTGAATTTTCCATGACTTTCCAGCTCCTACATGTGTAGAACGGATCAGACTTTTAGGTCTAAATCTGAAATGTTGAACTCTTTCTCTCACTTTATGGTTTGGGATTATAGTTTTTGAACATTATCTAAATAGGGATGGGCAGGATTAGTCGATTAATGGATAATTGATCATTAAGAATTTTGTCGATTACGTTCATTTTTAATCAACAAACCGAATGTAGGAGGCTGTGTGTATATTCCACTGAGTCGTGCCCTTTAGTCCGACAGAAGTTGAACCACATCAGCGACACAAGAGCTGGAGTTTTATCTTCACTTAGTTTATGTAAATTAGTGATGTGGTTTTAAGTTTTGTTTCTGTGAGATTTGAACAAAACTGAATTAAACACATTATAATGTCAAACAGCTGATGTGGATCTAGAGTCGTTATGTTTATATGTCGTAAAGTTGAATTTATTTATACAGATTATTTCTATCAGCACTACTAATGAAATAATTTTAATATAAAAACAATGATTAATCGATAATCGATTGTTAATTCTCCAGACGATCGATTAAGAAAATGTAATCGAATGCCCGTCTCCAATTCTAAATCCTGTCAGTGTTTTTATTGTCGTTTCTTTTAAACAAAAGACTCAGACTCACAAATAATCAGAACAGAACTGAACACTGGAGCTGTGCAAGTTTAAGTTTTATTTATAAAACTTTTCAGATGTTTGTCAAAGACACTTCAGAGTTTTTTTTTTTTCACTCTAGACTCGGTGGTATAAACTAATATTGTAGCCACAGCTGCCCTGGGACAGACAGAACGCGAGGCTGCCAGTCTGCACCATCAACCACACCCACACACCCACACACACACACACACACCCACACCCACACACACACACACACACACACACAGCCTAGTATGAAAGTGGTGCATGTAAGTGTCTTGCCAAAGGACACAATGACAGTATTTTCTTCTGTCGCCTCCTGATGTTTCCATTGTCTCCACCAGAGTCCAGACCAGGACCAGACTGAGCTCCTGAGATCTGACGAGATCAGGATTTGACATGGAGATGTATGGCACCATGCATGAAAAAGATAATATTCCATGACTTTTCCAGGATTTCCATGACTACAGGAACCTTGTCTATGATAAAAAATATATAAATTAATATTTTTTTGTGTTTGTGTTGACTGAACAAAGGAGTTTCTCGCCGCTTCCCGTTTCTCGTCGTGGATCAACTTCGACTTTCTAAAACGTGAAAATAAAAACACGTCGCTGTAAAAGAAGCAACATTTTGTCCACAAAACCAACGATTTTTCAGGTGAATCCTTCAGCAGCAAAACTTCAAATAAACCAGAGAATAAAATCAGAATTGAAATGGGCAGAGACTGAAATAAACTTTAATCAAAAAAACAAAAATTAAACCAAATTAAATATTGGAAATGGGTCGAAATCTGCTTTTTTTGTTTGACACAAAAATGGAAAAATTTAATAAACTGTATTATTTTGTTTTTAACTGAAGTTCAGAGACCGACTTGTACGTGGATCTTTCATCTAAACCTGAACTTTGAGGAAAAACGAGACAAAACACGAGATGAGAATTTGATTTTTTTATTCATTTAGAGGCATTTGACAAGTGTGGAGCTGTGAGGGGCACAAGCGCAGCTGCAGGGGAGAAAGTCCAGATGAAGCAGAGTCCACCAGCTAAGCACCTGTCACCACAAAGCACCTGTCGCAACAAGACCGGGTCCACCTGCCAACAGAGTAGCACCCGTCGCCACAAGACCGACCGGTCACAAAACCAAACAAAAGCCCGGCTCTGCCATTTCCTACCACAGAATTATGCAAAAAAAAAAAAACTGGAAAAAAAAAATAAAAAATGAAACGCGCTATTTGAGCTTTTCACCACAAAGTAAAAGTTCAAATACATGGAAGCCACACCACTAAAAAAAAGAGAAAGCAGAAAGAAAAAACCCATCCATTTTTTTCCTAAATTTCAATTCAAGAGGATATACAACACCGGCAAAAAGAAAGATTTTTTTTGCAAATTTTCTTACATGATTAATCAACATTTTTTTTCATATCTGGGGAATAATGAAGCCTAAAAAAATCCTAACCAATACAAGAATGCCTCTATTTCAAATATGTCTCTAAAGAGGTAGATCGGATGAACTTTCGGAGGGGTAAACGACACACTGCAAAGAAAAATTAAATATTCTACACGTTAAAACGATCACAATTTACGCCTCGATTTGAGTAGTTTTGAATCGATCCGTTTAAGTTACTCAAAATATTTGGTTCGTGTTTTAAGACTTTTAGTTGTGATAAGGCAAAAAAGATCGACCGGCGGATTAAGAAATTCCAAGTTTTAAAAAAAATTAAAAATTCCACTTGAAAAAAATTAGAAAGCGCCGGTAGATCTGCAAATATCTTGAAGTAATCTGGGTCGAAAGTAGAAAAAAACCCAATTCAAACTACTCAAATTAAGACTTCGGATGCGTCAATTTGAACCGATGGAGTGATTTTTTTTGCAGTGTAGGACTTGTGCCCCTCAGTGTAGCGCCCCCTGGTGACACGACTGAGGTATGGAGCGCTGAGGTAGAGCGTTTTCTACTGTGGAAGCGTGGACACACTAAACAAAAAAAAAACAAAAAATCAAAACTGTACATTCGGATTCTGCTAAACCAAACGAAAATTCATGATCCGAGCGCCGCAGGAAAACGCCCCAACGCCCCAACGCCACGTCCCACGGTTTCAGCTCGGAAAAGCCACGAGTTTGAAGGAGTTTAGACGAGTTTCAGAGTCGTTTTGAAGGTGTCGGTGAAGTCGTTTGGCTTTGATAGATTCTTGAAAGTCTAAAGAAAGAATTTAAGTTCACGTGTAACAAAATTCTACGTATTTTTGTTTTGAAATCAGGAGGTTTTATCAAAATGAGTAAAATGAAAGTTTTATTTGCAGATATTTACGAGTCTAAACTACATTCCAGAGTTGGTTTTCGGAGCTGAAGTCGTTGGGTTGGCGCAGGTTTGGGGCGTCTGCAGTGAAATCAGGTTTTGGGTTCTTCGCTCACACAGTCCTTTTCCCTGTAGACGACATATTGAAACCTCGAGATACAAAAGTCTTAAGTCTTTTGTCGCACAAAACATAAACCATCTCCTGCTCCGTGTGACTCCCTACCCTCACCATGCAGTGAACCTCATGAGGACCGGGTCAGGACCGGGTCAGGACCGGGTCAGGACCGGGTCAGGACCGCGGCCCGCAGACTGAACGCAAAAGTACCAAGGACGTCCGTGTCAAATCAAATGGCATTGGCTGTGATGAGGGTGAAGAGAGGGTGAAGAGAGGGTGAAGAGAGGGTGAAGAGAGGGTGAAGAGGGGGTGAAGAGGGGTGAAGAGGGGTGAAGAGAGGGTGAGGGGGCGGCGGATCTGCACGGCTCCAGGTGCAGCCTCAGGGGAAAAACTGAGGTCATTGAGGCCCAGGCTAAAGGTCACATGGCAGCGGACCTCATCAGAATTTTTCTTAAAAAAATAAAACTGTTCAAAGACTATCAGCTTTATAAAGTATACAAAATACCACCAAAGCAAAATAAAAAAAGGAACTTTTTTTCCATATATAGAATCATTTTCTTTTCTCTTGAGGTACTCGAGCCTGAGGTAGTTACGTAAAATGCATATTCGATTGCTTTTTAAACGGGCAGCAGCATGGGCACCGTTTCCCCGAGCGTCTGTCAGTGCTCTGCCCTCACCTCCTAATATATCTCTATGTATATAAGGTCTATCTATAAAATGCATCCGAATTTATAAAATGCCCCATAATCACGAACAAGACCCGACCAGAGCCCTGTGCTCAAACTAAGCTGTCCCCAACCCTCCCCCCAAATAAATCTCTAGGTCCAACCGGGACCTTCACCGCCGTCCGCCATGTTCCACAGAAAACTGAGCAGAAACCTTCAACCACCATGAAACACTCAAGAGAAACTAAAGTCGTGTGAATCTGCCGGGGCCAGTGCCACCCAGGTGAAGGGTATTGTCCGTGTGTTTGTGAAACTGAAAAAGGGCCCCGTGGGGGTGGGGCCAGGGGCCGGTCAGAGCGCGGGGCGACGGCACAGGAGGAGCCGCGCGCAGTTCAAGTGGGGAGGGCCCCTCCCCGCTCTGACGGCTCTCTGGTCGCGTTGTGCAGTCTGCTCCCCGCTCCGCTCACTTCCTGCGGGGCACGGGGGCCGGAGCCCCGGGGCCCGGGGGCTTCACCTGCTGCTGCTGCTGCTGCTGCTGCTGCTGCTGCTGCTGCTGCTGCTGCTGCTGCTGCTGGCGGCGAACCTGAGCCAGGATCTCCTGGATCTTCCTCTGGGCCAACTGCACCAACACCAGAACAAACACACTTAATCCTCCAGATTCACAAACAAACACTCAGGACTGAAGCTCAGACTCACCTGACACGCAAAGAAGTGTCCCGTGATCTTCACCACCACCTGGTCGTTCTCGTCCGGCGTCTGGTCTCTGGGCACCACCACCTCAGCGCAGGAGAGGTTCTGCAGCTCCGTCACCTGCAGCAGAACACGGACACGTTTACAACACGGACACGGTACTAAAGCTGCTCCAGCGCCAAAGCCAGCGCTCCTGCTCCTGCTCCTGCTCCTGCTCCTGCTTCTGCTGTACCGTTTTCCCGCCTTTCCCGATGACTCGGCCTGCGGCGAACGAAGGCACCTTGATGTGAGCCTCCAGCTTCACCTCCTCTTTAGGGCCGAAGAAGTTCTCCTCCTTTAGTTTACTGAAGATCCTGCACTGGGCCTGTGGAGGGAGCAGGACTTTAGAAAACACTCAACTCCATGTGGAACCTTCTGGCTGTGGTGGGACCTTCTCGCTGTGGTCCCTGTGCTTCGTGTGAGCGTGTGGAGAAGAGCCTGTACCTTAAACTGAGCTTCTGGAGGTCCCACGATGATGACGTTCCTGTACTGACAGTCTTTAGCTTCTGCGGGGGCGATCTGGAGGAGCAGAGGAGGAGGTCAGGACAGTTTTATAAAGAGCAGGTGATTCTCCAGGCGGGTCTGGAGCTCCAGGTGGAGGAGGATCTGAGCGTGGGCAGTGAGCTTCTGGAGGAGGCACTACGTCTCACAGGTTTGACGCCTTCAGTGAGAATCTACAGTGTAAATTATGGAACTAAAACATGTGACATGAAAGTGTCCAAACTGAACTGATCGTGGACGTGATGTTTCAGTGACGCCCCCCGAGTCTGAAGAACATTTTGCTTTCATTTTTCCCGTCTGTTTGTACAAACTAATAATAATGTTAACGAAAGCACAGGAGTTTAAACCAGAATGAGAATTTTAAAAACGTCTGGATTTACTTTGATGGAGGCTCCGGCGAAGTGTGACAGTTGTTTGATGTGCTGGCCCTGTTTCCCGATGATGGCCCCCACGGCGTGAGCCGGGATGAACAGGTTCACCGACTCAGACTCTGGATGGGCCTAAAAAAAAAAAAAAAACACAGGACATTAAACAACAGCGAATCAGATTCAGAAAACTTTGTTGCTTCCATAAGGCAATTCATCTGCAGCAAACTCAGAGCAGTTCTAGAGCCAGTGGGGCCAATCATTCCCCGTTTTGAGCCAGAGCTGAATTTGCATCAAAACTCTGTATGCGCATGCGCCCAGAAGAAGCAGGACTGAGGGTTTGGACAGTTTTTGCAAATCTCCAGACCAGCGTCTCCACAGCCTCGACCAGGACAGAGGCAGGAGCACGACGGTGAGCCAAAGCCGTGCACCAGAGCCACGCGGGGGCGGAGCCACGCGGGGGGCGGAGCCTCGAGGGACTTACAGAGAAGATCTGGCTGCCGGCGGACATCACAGACCACAAAGCCCCCTCCCCCACATACGGACTGCACTACAAAGGAAACACAGGTCACACTAAGTCGCTCCACTGCACCTGCCCGCACCTGCCCGCACCTGCCCGCACCTGCCCGCACCTGCCCACACCTGCCCACACCTGCCCACACCTGCCCGCACCTGCCCGCACCTGCCCGCACCTGCCCGCACCTGCCCGCACCTGCCCGCACCTGCCCGCACAGACTCACTGCGTTCACATTCACAGCAGGAAACCGGGAAACAGCCTCGTCCAATTTAAACTTGGAGTTTAAATGAATTACAAAGAAAATAAAGCATTGAACAGATCGACTCATTGATCACAGGACGTTGGTCGGTGAATCGTGTCGCGGTGCAACAATCAGGTTTCCCACTCTTTACTGACAAAATCTCTAACGTTTTCCGTGACTTTTTCATGACCTAAAGTGAATTTTCTTTGACTTTTCAGCTCTGACATGTGCAGAACTGATCAGACTTTTAGGTCTAAATCTGAAATCTTTAACTCTTTCCACTCGCCTTCGGATTTAGAAATGTTCAAAAACTCTAATCCCAAACCATGTCAGTGCATTTATTGTCGTCTCTTTTTAAACAAAAGGTGCAGACGTTCAGAAATAATCAGAACAGACTCATGAGAACTGAACACAACCCTGGAGCTGTGTCAAAGAGATACTAGAATTGCATGACTTTTCCAGGATTTCCATGACTGTGGGAACCTTGGCCAATTCTACTGACGCACACAGTTAAGACGAGTGGAGCGTGAAAGCCTCTGCGTCTGCTGTACGTAAATATCTATGAAAAAAAACGGCTCGATGGAAGTACCGGCAGAAAATTCATTAAAGCTCAGTGAACCTGGAACTACGACTGATGAGTTCTTGGATCTTTGAGATTCGATTCGGTACAAACGTCTCCAGTTTGCTTCTCCAGGTCTGTGCCGAATATAAATCACAACTGCACGAGGTGAGAAACGTCCAGGACGACATCAGACGAGTTTGATCACTGCTGATCTCACGCCGACTTCACGTCCTCTGATCATGACCACAAACACCAAAAAAACGACATCGAAATCTCCCATGAACACAACTCGCTCACGTCGTCATTTCCACTGCAAAACGGGAACATTTTTATGATGCACGAGTTGAGATAAGATCAACTTTGACCTTTCAACACGACAGAGCAGAGAAAGAGTCGTGAACAACACAAACTCGAACCTAAACCCTGAGCGCTGCTGCTGTTAAACTCTGCTGCTGTGAGTTGTTCATTTGTCGTTTACATAAAGCTGTGGCAAATATTTGAATAACGTCTCTATTTACACTTATTATTCAAATTTAAAAATCAATAAAGATATTTTAAAAATTTAAATATTGTGTTTCACCCCAGTAAAAGTTCAGGATAAACTCTTAATCTTCCCTGTTTCACTTCACTACAACAAAAGCACTTGAACACAACACACACGTGGAAACGTCGATCTTTCTTTAAAACTAACGTCCAGACTACGGCTCCGTTTACACAAGTTTACACAATTTTACACAAGTTTACACAAGTTTACACGGACACGGGGATTTTTAAAAACAGACATTTCCCTTCGTTTGTTCACATCGAAATAAAAGCTGCAGGTTTGAGTCTGATCCAGCTGCGTCCAGAGACTCGGTCGTTCTGACGACGCTCGATGGCGAATTTATCCAGGTTGATGTAAACGGAAACTTTTTTGAAAACGATGCCACGTGCATGATGTTTTTTTGGAAAACAGAGGGAGGGAAATATTTGTTTTAAAAACACCTAAAGCCTCTGCTCCAAACTCCAGAGCAGGTTTGGTTTGGTTTGGTTTGGTTTTGATCTGCAGTGTTAAAGTAAAAGTAAAAACTACCTGAGAAAAAAACATTTCATGAAAAAATCTACTGAAGAAGCCCTGAGTTTTTCCTTCAACCTCAACTCAACATAAATGTGACGTTTATTTCCTGATGAAGATGATGTGACTGAAGCTGCTGAATCACATTTAAAAACGGGGGGCAGACTTACTCCGAAGGCGCCGTGCCCGCCGTAGGCTCCAGGGGGCATGTTGGACATGGAGGGGCCCATGCAGGGGCCCCCCGGAGGGAACAGACCCAGGGCGTTGAGGTTTAGGCCTGGGATCATCGTCGACTGTAGCTTCAACACAAAACACACACAGTTAGACTCCAGAAAGTCACCAGGGGGCGACAAAGACACACCAGACGAGAACAAACAAGACCAACAGTGACCATGTGACCAGCGTCGACATGAGCGCCGCACACTAAACCCGACAGTGACGTCTATCGATTCACGCTGCCCTGTCCAAATAAGCTCCTTATGTTTTTCCGTTTACAGTTGTACAGATCCAATAAACCCTGACCTCTGACCCCTGACCTCTGACCCCCCAGTTTGACATGTTTGTTTGGATCAGAGTCGTGGGTTTGATGCCGTTTCACTCGTGCTCAGACTTTAGACTTTGTGTCAAATCTAAACTGGTTAGTGTGAGTGTGTGTGGTTCTCGTGAACAGTCGAGTTCTGCTCAAACTCCGACTCAACAAGCACAGATCTACAGGACATTTCTCCTCCAATCACGTCCCAGCGAACAAGAAACATTCAAACATTTACAGGAACACGGACAGAGACTCAGATCTGAATATTAAATAAACTCCACTAAAGAGAAACAACTGAAACACAGAAATCTTTAGTTTAAATAGTGATAATTCTAGAATATTTAGGCCAGAGTGAATTTCCTGTTACAAAATATGATGTAATAAAACGATAAAATCAGACATTAAATCCAAACTTCAATCCTGCTCCGTGTGTCGTTCATGTTTCTGAATTTCAATTAAGAACAAACAATAAAATGGGAAAACAGTTTGTCATTTCATTTTTCTGTTTTAGTGTCAAACAAAAATTAAATCAATTTCAACCTCTATTTTCAATATTTAATTTAAAGTTTATTTCAAATAAGAAAAAGACAGCACTTATTTCAATTTTGATATTTTATCTGAAGTTCTGTGTCCACGAAATTGTGAAGATTTTTCATTTAAATCCTTCAGAAAAACATGTTCCTTCTTTTACTTTCACGTCTTAGAAAGTTGACTCCATGACGAGAAACACTTAAACTCTGTTCACTCGACTCCACAGAAATAAAATAAAAAATGTTTTTATTATAGATTCATGTTTGACACTGAGCAGAACTTCAAATAAACCAGAGAATAAAATATCTAAATGAAAATAGGCACAAGACTTTTTGAAATCAACTTTAAATTAAATCTTGGAAATAAACAAAACATATTTTGACCCGACACTAAAACAGAAAAAAATAAATAAACGGTTTTCCTATTTTATCGTTTTTCGTTCTTAATTGAAATTCAAAAGAACAAACTGTACATGGATCATTTAACGTAGGTTTTCTGTTGCAAATCCAACACGCACATGTCGACGTTTAACTGAACCAAACAGAAAATAAAACCAAAACACGTTTATACGACGAGGGTCTGAACAGACGACGCAAAAGTGGCGTCGCGTCTTCACTTTTTATTCTGTGTTTAGACGAGTGTTTCCGGGAGGAAAGAGACGCAAAAGTGTCTGGAAATAAACTGATATTCAACTTTTCCAATCTGGAGGTGGTTTCAGATTTTTGCCTTTTTTAGCCCCAAAACAGCATCACCGTCTAAACGAATAAACGAAACACACTTCCCATCAAATATTGTGTCAGTTTTTAGTCCTAAGTTCTCGTGTGAACAAACCCTTAAACTAAAACTCGTCACTTCATTTCTGCCTCAGGAGCTCAAATCGACGGCGTTTAATCCAGTTTTTGGGGTCGTGCTCATGCGCAGTAGCGACAGGAGCTCATATCAACGGGACGGCGGCGGACGGCGGCTCGTCCGGCGGGCGGCGGCTCGTGCGGCGCGCGTCGGCGGCGCGTACGGCGGCGCGTACGGCGGCGTCGGCGGCCGGCGGCGGCTCGTGCGGCGGCGGCGCGTCCGGCGGCGCGTACGGCGGCGCGTACGGCGGCTCGCGCGGCGGCGCTGGACGCGCTCTTACACTCATGGCGGCCATGTCGCTGTCGTGAGCCTCTCGGACTTTCTTCATGATCTTCTCCTGGGCTTTGGTGGCGGGTTCGATGGCGCCGGTGATGGTGATGGTTCTCTCGGGGTTGCACATGGTCATGTCGTTAAAACTGAAGGAGAAAAAACAAACGTCAAAGAGCGAACGGTCGCTCTGTCCTCAGTGTTCGGTACATGTAATCTGTTACTCCCCGAGTGAAGTAATCAGAGTACAAATGATGAGTAACTGTATTATAAACCGGGTCTAAACCAGGTCTAAACCAGGTCTAAACCAGGTCTAAACCAGGTCTAAACCAGGTCTAAACCAGGTCTAAACCAGGTCTTAAACCAGGTCTTAAACCAGGTCTAAACCAGGACTAACCAGGACTAAACCAGGACTTAACCAGGACTAACCAGGTCTAAACCAGGACTAAATCCTGCTGTGTGGACGTGTTTCTTCGTCTTTTATCAATAATATTTTTTATTTGGTCCAGTAAAGTTTGGACTTTTTATTTTCTTTTATCAGATAAAACTTCTGATGTGAAGATTTCCTCGTCTTTGTTTCTCTACAACAAATCAAGTAATCCAAAGTAATCAGATTACATTACTCACTTTAAGTAATTTAATGGATTCTGTTACAAACTACATTTTGGGGGTGTGTAATCTGTAATCTGTAATCTGTAGGGGATTACATTTTAAAAGTAAATTTCCCAACCCTGTGTGTAGTTTAGATCTGCGTGATCACTGTACTAATCGATCTGCTCATGTGTTAGTTTCTTCTTCTTAAACGTGTTGAAAATGTGAGTAGAATCTCAGTATTAAACCAGGATCTCGTTGGGGAAACTCACGCAGAGATCAGGATCTGGGTGCACGTTTCCTCCTCCAGCTTCTTCAGGTTCTTTCCTTCTTTCCCGATGAGTCGCCCCACGAAGTTGTTATGGACCAGGAGCTTCAGGGGAACGTCCTCGTTACTGCGGAGACAAAGACAGAGTCTGAGGAGGAGAGTCTGAGTAGAGGTGTGCAAAAATATCAGAATATCGATATATCGTTTAATGCAGTATCGATATCGTGGGCTGCTGTATCGATATTTCACCAAGAGGATTTTTACGTGTGTTTTAAATTATTTTGTTACAGCTACAGTTTTGTTGCTTGTGGAGTGAAAGGAAACTCATTTATGTGACACATTTGACATTTTTACTGTTTTGATGATTAAAATGTTTGTGTTTCATATGAACTTTGCACAAGAAGAAGTGATTTAACAAACACTTTAGTGCAGACGTGTCAAACTCATTTTGTTCAGGGGTCGTGTCCAACCGACTTTGATCCAAAGTGTCCGGATCAGAAAACTCATGTCATATAAACCCCAAAAATAACAAGAAGTTCAAATATTTGTGCAGAGAAACACAAATCTATTACAGAAATCTTTTTGAATTGATGAACTCTTTCTTTTACAAAATATTATAATATTATGAACAACCTGAAACTTTAAGAAAAATACAATTTCAACACAAAGTTTGAACATGAACTTGTCTGTAAACAGGAATAAGTCCATTTTTGTTGTAAAATCCTGCACTCGGCTCCACTTTTCTCATGTTGGACATTTTTCTGATGAGGGTGTCACGGTCAACAGTCAAAACGATCGTCCTTTAAGAGCGTTTGGAAAGAGACAAGTCTTCATTTGTGCTGCTCTGGTGGGAGGGGCCACGTACAGAGACGCTGGAGACGCTGCTGTGATAAACACCACAGAAAATTAACACCATTTTAATAGAAAATATCATTAAAATATTTTAGTAGAAAATCAGCCGAGGTCCAGATTAAAGGTCTTGGAGGGCCGGATCTGGCCCCCGGGCCTTATGTTTGACACCTGTGGTTTAGTATCACAGCCACAATTTAGACTTTATTTATTATTGAACCGTATTGAATTGATTTGAAATATATCGTATCAAATCGAAAGTGAACTGTATCGAGGTGTGTATCGTATCGAGGCCTGTGTATCGAGGCCTGTGTATCGAGGCCTGTGTATCGAGGCCTGTGTATCGAGGCCTGTGTATCGAGGCCTGTGTATCGAGGCCTGTGTATCGAGGCCTGTGTATCGAGGCCTGTGTATCGTATCGGTAACTTCTTAATGATACCAGCCCTGAGTTTGAGGATGTGGCTCATGCTGCAGTGTGTTCAGACAGCAGGGGGCAGCAGAGGGTCTGATATTAGACGTACAGAGGAAAAGCAGCTTTTGTGAGGTTCAGGTGTTTCACAGAAACAAGACAATTTAAAAAATAAAAGTATTTGTGTTTGACCTGCTGATCAAGTTCAGACTCAGGGTGAGAGTCTTTAGAGGCTCAGAGGAACTTCAGACACTAAACAAAGTGTTGATTCTGAAATTCTCTTTTATCAGCAGAAGAACAGATGCAGATACACCTTTTTTGTTTTTGTTCTGAGGACTCACAACTTCGTGTCTACTGCCTCCTTGCGCATGATTTCCATGATGATCTTGCAGGCGGCGGTGCAGCCCTCGGGGGTGGAGTGGATGGTGATGGGTTTCTCTGCTGCTCCAGCGTTTTCCTTCCTGTGGATGTCGATCCTGAACAGAAACAAAGATCAGAGCTAAAGCCTCAGAGCTCAGGGAGTTTTACACCAGACAAACACGTGGAAATATCTGGGTTTCACGTGACGTCACAGGGCCACGTTTGTCAGCGCAAAATCAGACGGAGGCAGGAAGTGAACTGACTGGAGGAAAATGCCGATGTGTTGTGTAGTTTACGACTGTGCCAATCGTTCTAACCTAGAGAAGGAAAGTGATTTTTTTTTTTAGAGAACCGAATATAGTCGTCCACAAAGGTCAGAAATGGGAAAAGCCGACAGAACAACGCCGTAAAAAGTGGATTACAAACCTGTTTGTGGTCGGGAGGAGCAGAATTCACTAATGCTCGTGTCTGCAGTGACACTTCAACAAAGGTTTGTTACAAAGATAAACTGTTTTTTGTGGTTTAACTAAACATAAACGAATCATTAACGACTAACGACGTTTGTTGACATTAAATAGTTCAGATAAATCGGTCACTGCCGATACACTGCAGTTTTTCCCATAACGTCTATACACATAAAATAAGAGAAACACTCACCCCGGCCAAAACCAAACCATCATCATCATTTAGACGTTTTGCACCGAGGTTGAGGACCCATCCACTCACAAAAAAAGTTCTATGCCTCCAAACTTTTGTACTTTGCCTTCATCTGTTGTCTGGTGTAAAACGACGTCTGAAGAGCTAAATAGTTGGTGATCTCTTTTACTCGTTGAAAATTCTCTCATTTTCAATAAGATCAGGGTCACGGCCAATATATTTGTCGACTAACTGCTCGTACTTTTGCCTCGTTACTGGCTCTAAATCCTGACAATAAGAACTCTTCTCCAGAGCCGTGTTTGTTTGTCGTGTTTGTCTGTCGTGTTTGTTGTGTTTGTCTTCACTTCCTGCCCTCCACCTGAAATTCGCGCGTCATCGTGATCACATGACTGAAACCCTCCTATTTAGTAAACAGTCAAGAAATGAACATAGACGTCGGCTCTCATTAGCCTCGAAATGAACAAACATTTAGTGAGTTATTTCACACTTTTAAATTCTCGTGAAACCCTCGTCTGCGTTGGTTTCCGCTCTCGGCTCTGGGGTCAGGAGACTCACTTGGAATGCGTCTGCTTGGTGATGTTGCGGATGGTGCTGCCTTCTTTTCCGATGATGGCTCCGACGAACTGCATGGGCACGGACATGCGCAGGGGGATGTCGGGGTGACTCTTCGGCCGCGGGCTGAGACCCGGCGAGCCCGAGCGAGGGGGGCCCCGAGAGTTGAACCCCCGTCTGTTCCCGGGGCCCTCCAGGGCGTTTTCGTCCGGGATGTAAGACACTTTGAGAGAGCAGTTCTCCATCATGGCACAGTTCAGCTTCTCGATGGCCCTGTGCACACAAACACACAAACACACACACACAAACACACACACACGTTACATGTCTGATCTGGATGGACGACAAACTCTGGAGCGTTCAACATGTTGATGTGCACAGGCCGTCGCTCTAAACCAGGAGAGTCAAACTCATTTTGTTCCGGGGGTCGTGTCCAACCGACTTTGATCCAAAGTGTCCGGATCAGAAAACTCATGTCATATAAACCCCAAAAATAACAATAAGTTCAAATATTTGTGCAGAGAAACACAAATCTATTACAGAAATCTTTTTTAATTGATGAACTCTTTCTTTTACAAAATATTATAATATTATGAAAATGAAACTAAGAAAAATACAATTTCAACACAAAGTTTTGAACATGAACTTTTTAAACAGAATAAATTTTTGTTGTAAAATTGAACTTTTCTCATTTTTTTTTTTTCAACAGTCAAAAACTTTAAGAGCGTTTGGAAAGAAAGTCTTATTTGTGCTGCTCTTGGGAGGGGCCACGTACAGAGACACTGGAACGCTGCTGTGATAAACACCACAGAAAATTAACACGATTTAATAGAAAATATCATTAAAATATTTTAGTAGAAAATCAGCCGAGGGCCAGATTAAAGGTCTTGGAGGGCCGGATCTGGCCCCCGGGCCGTATGTTTGACGCCTGTGCTCTAAAGTCCGAGTCTGTGCTCATGTGTTTGAAAAGTCGCTCACAGACGTTTGTCACCTACTCGCTTCGTTTCGAGGCGTCTCCTTTATTTTATTTATTTATTTGGGTCACAGGTTTATTCTGACATTATTTGTCATATTTAACACAGACTGAAAAGGTGTCGGCTGAAGCTTGAGTTTATTCTGCCTTTACCCTTTATTCCTTTATCAGAGCTTCATCTTGACATCAGTTCATCATAAATCACAGCGAGAGGAAACAAACAAATCAGAAACAGAACAACAAAGTTCTACAACACAAACTAAGTCTCATATTTCATGTTTCTGTCCAGAGTTAAACATTTAAACTTCTTTATGAAGTGAAAAACACTGGTGCAGTTTGAGGTTTTCTGTCCAGTTGTTCCACAGCTCCAACACTTTAACACTTTAACAGATTCATAAAATTTCATAATGTTTGTTCTGATTTTCTTTTTAATAAACATGTCTGTGCCTCTGAGCTCGTAACGGCTCTTTTGGATTTTGAACTTGTTCTGTAAAGATTTTGACAGGAGATTGTTGTTACTTTGAACATGATTTTCAGAGTGTAAAGGTAAAGACTAAACCATATAATTTGAGCGTTTGAAGGTTTATAAATAACACATTGGTTGGTTTTTGTTTGGATTTGTATTAGTCTTATAAGTATTGCCCCAAATCTCACTTATATTTAATAAAAAGACTGTTTTTATCCATCTTTATTTAAGGCTAAAACGGCACCAAGACTCATCAAAAGCTCACTCATTCATGTGAACTTCTAAAGCAACACTGTGGAACTTTCTGGTGGGGGCACGTCCCCTTCATGATACTGTGGAACCTCCAAAGAGAATCATCAACACTGTGGAATTTCTAGCCAAAGGAACGAGTCAGGTTTGTGGAGATGCAGCGACGACGACGACGACACGTTTTTCATGTTTTTCATGTTTTTCATGTTTTTCAGTGACAAACACAAAAATAAAAACCACATGCTTCGAGTTAAGTTAAGCCGTGGAGCCAACATCACATGACTCCTGCAACATCACATGACGCAGGAGTCGAAACACGACAAAGACAAAACAAAACGAGCAGCTCTGAGAGGAAAAGGGATTTAAATCTACACAACACCAACACCAACACTACACTAACACTACACCAACACTACACCACACCAACACTACACCAACACTACACCAACACTACACCAACACCAACACCAACACTACACACACACCACCGTTACAGCGACTCTCCAGAAGAACAATTCAGAGGAACCTCAAACCAAACAGACTCTGCTTCAAATGCTCCACCACATCGTTTCACAAAGACTGAGCCGTGACCCTCAGGTGGGTCACATCTAGGGACGGGCATTCGATGAAATTTTCTTAAATCGTTGGAAGAATTAACGATCGATTATCGATTAATCATTAACGTTTTTCTATTAAAATGATCATCATTATTATTACTATCTGCACTAATCTGCATCAATAAATTCAACTTTACGACATATAAACATAACGACTCTAGATCCACATCAGCTGTTTGACATTATAATGTGTTTAATTCAGTTTTGTTCAAATCTCACAGAAACAAAACTTAAAACCACATCACTAATTTACATAAACTAAGTGAAGATAAAACTCCAGCTCTTGTGTCGCTGATGTGGTTCAACTTGTGTTGGATTAAAAGACATGACTCAGGTGAATACAGGTCAGTGTGACCAGATTTGTGTTTGTCAAAACCAGGACAGCGTACGGGGGGAGGGGGGCGGGGCCTCGTCATCCACATTGAGCGACTCTCACCTGGAAAAACTTTTTCCCACTGGACACAGATCCAACATGGATCACACTTGTGCAACGGAAAGTGTGGCTTTAAATCCACATTTGTGCTTCGGTTCGTTACAGACTGACCCATCGCTTCTGATGCAGAGACACATGTACACACCTGTTTGGTCACGACACACACACATACATTCAGTTTGTCCAGTAAAATGAACAGAATCCATGAAATTCTTAATGATCAATTATCGATTAATTCGATTAATCATGCCCGTCCCTGGTCACAAGAGATTATTTTTGGGTCACCTGGTACAGATCTGACTCTACACCTCCTGCACCCGGACGAACAAAAACACAAACTACAAACACACAGGTCCACCAATCTATTAGAAATGTTCAAATACTAAGACATGTTTGTATAATTTCTTATCTTTTTTGTAATTATTTTATGGACTATTTTGTTCCAGTGTTGCTGCTTCAATTGAAATGTTGAAAAAGATTTTTTTTTTACATTTAATGTCCAAACAGGCGACTTTTAGATCCTTTTATTGCTGCTTCAGTGATCGTGTTTTTCCATGATCCTTTGCTCCATTTCAGTGCAGATGACAAGAAATAAGTTCTGTTTTTTTTTTTTTTTTTAATTATTGGATCATTTGCAGCAAAAAAAACCCAAAAACAAACCACGACTACACGGGTCATGACAGAAGAGTCCGAGCTGAAACAAAAGGACACGTGCACAACTCCACTCACTGGACATGTACAAGAGACAAAATATAAATTAAACAAAACCCAACGCACAATTCATCAACTCCAGAGCTCCGTATTTTCCAAAACACGACAGTCTGTTCTCTTTTTAAAAGGTTTCTACAGTTTTTTTCTACAGCGTTGAACTGTTTAAAGTCATTGTGCCTAATATTTTACAAACCAAAATCTCTAACAGTTCTAACACTTAAGTTTTAAAATGTTTTGACAAAACTCAATCCAAAGAACTAAGAGGAAAAAGTCGCATGTTGGTCTCCACAAAATATCGCAATAAATATCGTACCTGTGAGATTTATATATCGTGAAAATATCGTACAGAGAGATTTGGATTTTGTTACATTTCTAATCATGAGCCTCACCAACGTATCGTGAACTTTCCCACGATATATCGCAATAAATATCGTCTCGTGACAATATCATATCGTGAGACTTGGATATCGTTACACCTCTACTCAGTCAACAATAATAAAATATCCTCATTAATGTGAAATAACAGTCAAATCCACCTTTAGTTTTTGTGATTTATGAATAACGTCTGTGGACTTGGGTCACGAAGGTTTGTGACTTAAAATATGGGTCCCCAGAAACAAAAAAAAAAAAGTTTGGGAAACACTGGACTATCAGATTTGTCTCCTAAAAACAAAAGTCATTAGTCATTAACCTTCACTCAAAAATGATGTTCGTCCCACAGTCACCGACCTCGGCGTCGCCTTAGACACTGATTTAAATTTGACAAACAGATAAACAATGTTTTAAAAATCAGGTTTTTATCATTTGCGGCTTCTATCCAAAGTCAAACCTTTTATCTTTTACACTTTTTGAACAAGTTACGCACGTTTTTATTCCATCAGGCCTGGACGACTGTAAACGCACTTTATTATTTCGCGAAACGCACTTTACCGACGACAGAGTCCAAAACTCTGCAGCGCGACTTTTAACAGGAACGAAAAGGAGAGAAGAGAACATCACCCCAATCCTCACGACTTTGTCTTTGCTTCCTGTTCATTTTAAAACTGATTTAAAGATTTTATTGTTTGTTTTTAAAGTTTTGAAGGTTCTGGCCCCACAGTACGACTCGGACCTCATCCAAATTTCTGAGGTCTGAGGTCCAATTCCAGCTCTTGGTGCCCAAGACGAGACTTAAAACCACGAGGACAGGACCTTCTCTGTGGTCGACCCTAAACTCTGGAACGCCCCGGAACGCCCCGGAACGCCCCGGAACGCCCCGGAACGCCCCGGAACGCCCCGGAACGCCCCGGAACGCTCCACATTCGAGTGTTTTAAGTCTCGTCTTAAGCCCCACTTTTATTCTCTGGCTTTTAAAACCGTGTGAGTCGTGTGCTCCTCTGTGTCTTTTAATTAATTTTTATGTCTTTTTATTGATTGAATTTATTGATTGGTTTATTTATTTCTATTCTATGATTTTGTTTTTATTTAATTTTATTTGACTGGTTTTATTATTTTAAGACTAGTATTATTTTAGTAGTTTTTTTTTTATTAGTTTATTTTTTATTTATAATAATTTGTCAAATTTGAGGGACTGGATACCCAGCACATCCACAAGACAGACTTAAATATAAAACTGACACGCATACAAAAATAAAATAAAATAAAATACAGTAATAATAAAAAAAATAATAATAATAATACCCCCCCCCCAACAAACTGTAATAATAATAATATAATAATAGTAATAATAATAATAATACAGAGTTTCTCAGTGCAGTGTTTGTATGTGTGTATTTACATTTTTAAGGCTGACAAATCAAATTTACATTTACATATTTTCTATTCCCTTCCCATATCTTCTGTTCGTTTGTTTTTGGCAAACCCCAAACTGCACCAACAGGTACGTTCCATTATACAAGCATTTACATCCACATATATTTTTAACATTGTCCAACAGTGTGATGTTCTTCTTTTACTGTGTTTTGTCCAAATGGGGTTTTGCCACAGTAGCAGTAGTTTATTTTAATCATCTTATTGTTGTTATTATTATGTTTTTGTGCAGCACTTTGGAAACAGTTTGTGAAAATGTGCGACAGAAATAAAGCGAGTTGGATTGGATTAATCAGTCATGTTTCGGCGTTAGAAACCTTCATGTAGACCTGACTGCAGACTGATCCTCCAGAGGTTCAGCACAGGCTCCTGTCACGTGCAGAGTGAAGCATGAACAGCAGGGGGCACCACAGGTTCACTGCACGAGTCTGGAGGTCCGGCCTGAGCTCAGACATGAAGAGCTGAGGAGGGTTTATCTTCTGCAGCTCAAACTTCAGACATAAACTCCCAAAGTGAAGCCGAGTGAAGCCGACTGCAGCTCCTCCAGCGACTCGTTCGATCCATAAACTTTGCTCCTCTGGGTCAAAGTTCGCGTCACAGGCTCCGACTTTTCTCTCATTTCTGCTCAAGTCGACGGGACGAGACGCGCGCTAAACGTAAATCTTACTTTAACGCAAAAAATCTTGACTCAATTTGTTCAGAAAAGTCGGAAAATACGTTGAAAATGACCAGAAGTGTTGAGTTCTATTTGAGTCTCACACTGATGACGTCACACGAGGAGAATTCAGTCCAAACGTTCAGCGCGATTTTACACAAGCAGCAAAAAAACAAAACAAAAAAAACAAAAAAAACACTGATATTTGAAACACGATTCCAGCAAAACCAACGGGGTTTTCTTGTTTTGTTTTTTTTTTATTTGTCGAACTCTAATCTTTGTGTACAGCGCGGTCGCTCTGGGAACAGTTTTGGAATTCCCAAGTGTGACATTGTGATTTCAAAACAGGAAGTTAAATTTAAAACCTTAAAAACTGACAAAACTCAGAGGGAAAATATTTCAAATGTTTAGTAAATCTAAAATACAAAGTGTCCCAAAAAACAACAAAAACAAACAGACAGACAGACATTTCACAGGACAAGAATTTTGCCAACATGGGTTTTAAAGTCCCGGGTTTTTAAAGTCCCAGGTTTTTAAGTCCCGGTTTAGTGGTGTGGCCGGTGCAGGAGGGGGGTTGGTCCGCACAGCATGGTTAAGTCCTGGCTAAATCCTGGTTTAGTCTTGGTTTAGACCCGTTTTTAGAACTGGTTTAGACTTATTTCTAGACCCTGTTTTTGAACCCTTAGACCTTTTTTGGACCTTGTTTTTTGACCCTGTTTGAAGACCTTTTTTAGACCCTGGTTTGGCCTGTTTTAAGACCCATTTTAGACTGTTTAGACCTTGTTTTTAGACCCTGTTTGAACATTTTTTTTAGACCGATTTGGAACCTGTTTTCAGACCTGATTTAGACCTGTTTTAAGACCTGTTTTTAGACTTTTAGACCCATTTTTAGACCTGGTTTTTGGACCCCATTTGAAAAAAAACTTGAACCCTGTTTTCAGACCTGGTTTAGACCATTTTTAGATCCTGTTTTTAGACCCTTGGACCTTTTTTAGACCCATTTCTAGACCCTGTTTTTAGATCTTTTTTAGACTGGTTTCAACCCTGTTTTTAGACCTGGTTTGGACCGTTTTCAAACCTGATTTAGACCCTGGTTTAAGACCCATTTTTAGACATGTTTTAGACCCTGTTTTTAGACTTTTTTGGACTTGTTTTTAGACTTCATTTAAAAAGCTTTTATCTTGAAATCCAAGTCTCGCTCAGTGATGATGTTAAATGTTCCGGGACGCGTGTCGAACGATCTTAACGGTGTTTTAGTGAAATGAGTTTTTAAACCGACGTGAGTCTTTTTTTAACCAGACTAAACCCGAGTCGAGGTGTGGTCCTGTTGAACCTTCCACCATCGGCCCGTTTACAGGATTATTCTTCTTACGGAGCTTAGTGCTGCTGTTTTAATCGGTTATGGAGGATTAGCGGAGTCATTACGATAGTGCAGTAGTAGTATTTGTAGTATTTGTATTTGTAGTATTTGTATTTGCAGTACTTACAGCCGGGCCTGGTCTCTGGACGAGTATCGGACATTCACTACGGCCGTTTCTGTGTCCGTGTTCACTGTGGAGGAAAAAAAAACAACACAAACATGAGGCTCCGTGAGAATCTGAGAAACGAACGCGTTAAACTGAAAAACACTTTACAAAAAAACATCTAGAGTTGGCGTTAATTGATACGAGCGAAAAAGAATCAACAATCCAGCTTTTTCTGTTCTGATACGGATCAATACTTTAGATTTAAGTACGTGCCGATACTCGATCGATTCCACCTGTAAATATTCTTAGTTCAGACAATCTCCTCGGCTTTTGAAAATTTTGGAAAACCAATCTGTACCTAGAATCTTTTTTTTTTTTTTAACACTTGTCAGAGTAAAGTTGCATGAGAAATTTCTTGAAGTTCTGTAGATGTTTAGTGTCTGCAGGAGCCTTAAATCTGAGCTGAAACATCAGTTTTTATTTAATAACGTCAAAAATAGTGTGAAGAATCCCTCGGTCGTCCAGGTAGAATCCTCGACGATGTCAGAAATTCAACTTGTCCCTGATTTTAAAATGTGTCAAAACCAATTAAAAGAAAATCTGTGGAATATTTGTTCAGTTTCATAAAATCTACTGGATCCACCGAGTCTCTTCAGTTCCATCCTCAGTGTCCATAAAACTCTGGAAGAAACATCAGTTTATTATTATTATTTTTTTTATATAATAATCACTTATTCATGGTCCTTGAAGTCCCAAAAAAAATGACACTTTTGACAAACTAATGACAGAGACAAAAAACTGGGACCAAATGATCCAGTGTCCATGTTTATATTCAACTTCCATCGACACTGTTGGACTAAATTATTTTTGATGCCGACGAGGAGAAAATTCTGTTTGTCGACTGGACAAAAGTTAGTTTGGTTGAAGACGTTTGGCGGCTCATCCAAGCTGCTTCTTCAGTTCTGGTCAGAACTACTCTGAAACTAAGTGTGTGTTAGTTTCAGAGGAGTTTCAGTGTAGTTAGCTCCTCCTGCAGACAGATGTACGGAAGAGTCACCAGCGTCTGATCAAAATAGTTTCAACTTGATTAACAAAGTTTATTTTGGGATATTTTTTATTAGAAAGGCTGATGCCCCCAGTGCCTCCGCTCAGTTTCATTTCTCTCCAGCGACTAGATCAGGAATCAGAAAACACTAGATCAGGAGAGTCCAAACTTTTTTCATCCAGGGCCACAAATCTAAACACAGAAGCAGCAGAAGGTCGATCGAGGGTCGGAGACTGGAGCTCAGTGCAGTGAATAATTGAAATCTGCAGGTTTAACACGTTAGAATGAGCCTCAGTCTTTATTCACGCTAAGATCCTTAAAACCAAACACTAAATATTCGCTTTATCAGGTAGATTTTCAAAAAACTTGGAGTAAAAAAATAATTTTGAATTGGTCATTTGGGCCAATTCACCTGGAAAAAAGTTTGTCTGAGGGCCACATTTTGCCCACGAGTTTGCCAGTTTGGAGAAACATGCACTAGACGATTCGCAAAAACCCTGGAAGTGCGACTTCAGTCTCCAACCAATCAGAGAAGAGACAGACATTCTGTGTTGGCGACGATTCCCCAGATCCCAGAGGATTTAAAGTCTGAACAAAGAGAATGTTTGGTGAATTTGATCTCGGGGAAAGTCGTTATTGTTCTTCTTCCTACAGGATTTGGAGCTTTACAAACGTCACGACCAAACAGCAGCGACTGGTTCAATAAAAAAAGTCCCGTCTCCTGTCGAGTGAACGAATCCTAATGCTGCAGGTCACACGGTTTCCACCAAGTGAAACCAGCTCACGAATCAGACTGATTTTTTTAATATAAATAAGTATGTTTTAATTCAGTTTAATTCAAAATGTCTGAAAAACACAAAAGCAGCTCATTGTGTTCGATTCTGAAGAGTAGAGGTGGGATTAAATAAGTTTTCTTCTTCTCACTCCTTTTTGGACAAAATATTAAATTTTTGTTGTCATTTTCATTTCTATTATTATTACACTTATGTTATATGTTCTATTGTATTTGAATGTAAATCTTTACTTTCCCAAAATAAATGCATAAATAAAAATTTAAAAAAGTTGGATATAGTTTATTTTGGACACATTTTTTCTGCTTTATTTCATGTTCAAAGTTTATTTTATTCATTTTATGTTTTATACATCGAAAACTGCTCTAAAAATCAGATTTGTGGCCGATATTTGAAAGTTTTTGGTAAATTATCAATAACAAAGTGTTGGATAAAAATAATCGTTTGAATAATCACGATTTCAATATTGACCAAAATATTCGTGATAATGTTTTTTTTTTTTTTTTCCATAAATCGAACATCTTTAAGTTCTCGTTTTGGTCTTTCTTCTCTCGATCGTCGTGGATAAATTGTTCATGTTAGAAGGTTTATTCTTTGTGGAGTTTGTTGGTTGAAGATTTGGTGAAAAACATTCACCAGAAATAAACCATAAACCAACAGCGAAAAAATCTACATCCAGCTCCAACGCACAGGGTTGGGAAGTTTACTTTTAAAATGTAATCCCCTACAGATTACAGATTACATATCTCAAAATGTAGTTTGTAACGTAATCCATTAAATTACTTAGAGTAATGTAATCTGATTACTTTGGATTACTTGATTTGTTGTAGAGAAACAAAGACAAGGAAACTTAACTGTATTAAAAATATTATTAGACGAGGAGGAGACACGGAGCATGATTTAGTCCTGTTTAATCCTGGTTTAGACCTGGTTTAGTCATGGTTTAGATCTAGTTTAGTTTAGTCGTGGTTTAGATCTAATTTAGACCTGGTTTAGCTCTAGTTTAGACCTGGTTTTAGTCCTGGTTTAGCTCTAGTTTAGACCTGGTTTTAGTCCTGGTTTAGATCTAGTTTAGACCTGGTTTTAGTCCTAGGTTTAGACCTGGTTTTAGTCCCTGGTTTAGATCTAGTTTAGACCTGGTTTTAGTCCTGGTTTAGATCTAGTTTAGACCTGGTTTTAGTCCTGGTTTAGATCTAGTTTAGACCTGGTTTTAGTCCTGGTTTAGATCTAGTTTAGACCTGGTTTTAGTCCTGGTTTAGATCTAGTTTAGACCTGGTTTTAGTCCTGGTTTAGACCTGGTTTAGTTTCCAGCAATGAGTGGAATTACTGAAAAAAATAAATAAAATAAAGTAAAAACAATGTGAAAACAGGAAATGACCACTCTGTAATCCATTTATTTCAACAAAGTAACTGTAATCCAATTCCCACTCACTGAAACAGTAACTGTAACTGAATAGAGTTACTCATCATTTGTACTCTGATTACTCTGGTACATGTAATCTGTTACTCCCGACACTGAACACACACACGGACTGAATCATTTGGGAAAAATCGGATTATTTCTGATAAACTTTCGGCATTAAAGTCTTGATTTATGTTTTTATAACAAGATTCTGTCCAAAGCTCAAATGAATCTAAACTAACACAAGAATCACGTCTGGACCGATGGAAACTACAGGGAGCAGAGAAAAGAGATGATTTTTCTGTTTGTGGAAGAAATTATGAGACAAAACAAAAAACAAAACAAAACTGCAGCATTTGCTAATTGAATCCGTTCAAACTGATTTCAATTCCTGCTGCTCTAAAAACTAAATCTGTAGAATCATGACTGGCAATAAAATACAGGAAAAGGGAAACAAAACCTTATTTCGGGGTCTTTAATCGGGACGTAACAACCAAAATATCGTGATATCGAATCGTCAAAAGTCTCACAATATATCGAATCTCAAGTCTGTTCGCTTAAATTCATTGTTATGGTGCAAAAATGTCCAAAAAATCATAAGGAACTACACAGACCATGATCCTTTGCAGTGTTTAAGTCCACTACACATCCTGAAGTATCTGTTATAAACAAGTGTTGGACAAGTGACTTTAACTCTAATGTTTTATTTATTTTTGACGTGTTTGTGTCATTTCAAACTGATTCTTTACATTATAATTTTACTGTGTTTAAAATATAAAACACGAATATTACAGAACTTTAATTTACTCAACAAAATAACTGAAGATGCTGAACTTTTGCACCGTATACGGACTGAACCAGGACTAAAACTAAGACTAAAACCAGGACTAAACCAGGTCTAAACCAGGACTAAAACCAGGTCTAAACCAGGTCTAAAACCAGGTCTAAACCAGGACTGAATCAGGTCTAAAAACCAGGACTAAAACCAGGACTAAAACCAGGACTAAAACCAGGACTAAAACCAGGACTAAAACCAGGACTGAATCAGGTCTAAACCTGGACTGAATCAGGATTAAAAACCAGGTCTAAACCAGGTCTAAACCAGGTCTAAACCAGGTCTAAAACCAGGTCTAAACCAGGTCTAAAATCAGGTCTAAACCAGGTCTAAAACCAGGTCTAAACCAGGTCTGAATCAGGTCTAAATCCAGGTCTAATCCAGGTCTAATCCAGGTCTAATCCAGGTCTAATCCAGAGACTAAACCAAAACTAAACCAGGGACTAAACCAAAACTAAACCAGGACTAAAACAGGATTTAACAGGACTACACTGTGCTGCGTGTCTCTCTTCTATCAATATTATTTTTAATACAGTTAAGTTTCCTCGTCTTTGTTTCTCTACAACAAATCAAGTAATCCAAAGTAATCAGATTACATTACTCACTTTAAGTAATTTAATGGATTCTGTTACAAACTACATTTTGGGGTGTGTAATCTGTAATCTGTAGGGGATTACATTTTAAAAGTAAACTTCCCAACACTGGATTTTGTTACATCTCTAATCTTTCCCCACGATATCACAATAAATATCGTATCGTGAGACTTTTATTCAACTTTTACTCTGGAGGTGGGTTCAGATTTTTGTGTTTTTAAACCTCAAAAACGCCGCCGTCACCGTCTAAACGAAAGACACTTCCCGTAAAATACTTTGTAGTTTTTACTCGTGAGTGTTTAAAATCACCAAAATGACACTTTAAACCAGTCAAACACTTTAAACTGTACATGGATTTTAAAAAAAATACAAAAAAAGTGTGGTTTACCTTGTTCACAGCTCTCCACTGTGCCGTACTCCGCCAGCATACTGTCCAACGCCTGCACACACACACACACAAACACACACGGGTTTGAGTTAACGAGAAACTTTATTATTATTATTATGAGTCTGTTTAAAGCTCCAAACGCCCTGCTCCACCTTGTGATGTCATGAAGGTTTGGAGTGAACAGATCAGTCATTCGTTTGTTTTTCAAAATAAAACCAAAAGAAAATTTATTATTTGTCTCCAAAACCGAAATGGAAAAAAAACAAAAACTGATGACAAAGTGAACCAGGACTAACACTTCTTCAGTTCTGGTCCTAGACCTAGTCCTGTTCCTATCCTGTTCCCGAGTCCTAGACCTGGTTCAGTCCCGGTCTCAGTCCCGGTTCTAGTCCTGGACCTGGTTCAGTCCCGGTTCTAGACCTAGACCTAGTCCCGGTTCTAGACCTAGACCTGGTTCAGTCCCGGTTTTAGACCTAGACCTAGACCTGGTTCAGTTCCTAGACCTAGTCCTGGTTCAGTCCCGGTTCTAGACCTAGACCTAGTCCTGGTTCAGTCCCGGTTCTAGTCCTAGACCTGGTTCAGTCCCGGTTCTAGACCCTAGACCTGGTTCATTCCCGGTTCTAGTCCGTTTTTTTTCCATTTTTCATCTAAACAAAACTGAAAAAATTAATCATCTTCTGTTTTTTTCAGTTTCTTTTTGGTTTTATTTTGAAAAACAAATGATACGGATTTAAAAGGTTTAGTTTTGTCACAAATTCTAAATTTAACATTTCGATACCAAAGAATAAAAACTGTTGTATGAATCTGTGTGGAGTAAAATATTTGTGGAAACAGAATCTGAGATAAAAACACGTTCGTGGTCCTGGTCACAGATCGACTCGTGAGGTTTTCGTGGCCGATTGTTTCACATCCAGAGCAACGACCGATAAACGCGTCATATTTTTGGGTCGATATTTCTGATAATTTTCTCAAAATTTTGCAACAAACCTGAAATCTGCGGAGTCACATTTGTGCGATTCTCTGATCCATTAACGTGTCAAGATAAAACTGTTTTTTTACACAACAACTCGACCAAAACTAAACACGGGCCTGAGCTGCAGCTTTGAAATTTGATATTTGATATTCTAAAAAGTGTAAATATCGGTCTGATATATCGGTCCGTGACGCAGATCAAGACTAAACTCGCAAACGGGACAAAACTGACGCTTGTTCAGTCTCAGTTCACATGTTTTTTTCCTCAGATCAGTTTAACCCCGAGGTGTGAACAGGACCGAGTCACATGGACAAAATCATCCGACACTAGAGCGGCTCGATTATGAAAAAAAAAAAAAATTATCACGATTATTATGGTCAATATTGAAATCACGATTATTCAGACGATTATTATTTAGTTACACAATGTATTTCTCGCTCAAAAAACACTGTTAATTTACGCAAAACTTTCAAATTGAAAATAAATCTTGGTTACAAATCTGAATCTTAGAGCAGTTTTGTGACGTAGAAAAGATAAAAATGAATAAAATAAACTTTGAACATGAAATAAGGCAGAAAAACACACATTTATCCAAAATAAACTCTAAATATAGAGTTTGTAGAAGAGCTGGATATAAAGAAATAAAATATACTTAGGCTGCATCATCTGTCCCAATGTCAGAAATTCAACTTGTACCTGATTTTAAAATGTGACAAAACCAATTAAAAAGAAAATCTGTGGAATATTTGCTCAACTGAATAAAATCTACTGGGTCCATCAAGTCTCTTAAAGGTTTTATGGAGGATTTTTTTTAGTTTCAAACTGTCAGTGAAAGATTAAAATATCATTACAGAGACGCAGCAGCTTTGTAATTATGACCAAAAAAAAATAAATGAAAGTATCAACTGTGGACGTGTTGAGGCCAGGAAACATCAGCCAATAGAAAACGAGGCTCCTTCATTTTCTATTGGCTGTTAGGTTGTCAATCAAACTCCCTAGTGTAACTGACTCGTCGGAGCGCGGGGATTACGTGGTTTACGCAGCGGTTCTTAGAGGCTTTTTCGAACTGTCGCTTCCTCGCATTTCACACAAAGTTTGTCGTGACGGCGGACGAGAATCCACGACCGGTTCGCCGCAAAAGAAAGTCTGTTTTTTGAGGTCGCTGAAAGAAGAAGAGAAGGGGAAAAGGAGCAAAGCCAAACTAAGGTGATTCTTGGAGATCTCGTCCAGCGATGGCGCGACCGAAGCAGACGAAGGGTCTAAAAACTGACGCGTCGGTCGCTGAATTACTTCTAAACAAGTCACTTCAGCACTAATTCTGAACGCGCACAAGGACTGTCGCTGTATTTCTCTTCCCTTAAAAAAAATCCTCTATACGACCTTTAAGTTCCATCCTCACAGTGTCCATAAAACTCTGGCCTGAAACATCAGTTTTTCTCACATAACTTTAAAAATAATCCATTTAGGGCCACGGTGTCGATGAAAGTTGAATATAAATGTTGCTGTTGAATCTTTTGGTAACAATTTTAAATCTCTATCTCCCAAACTTTCTAAGATATGAACATTTTGTGGAGATTTTGAATGTTTTTTCATAATGATCCAAAGATGAAATGACATAAAGTTTGTTGTTTCTGTGGTGTCTGTATAAAAAAGTGGAGTGAGTGAGTGTGACGTCACCATTATTGATAGAAGAAGAAGAAACACGTCCACACAGCAGGATTTAGTCCTGGTTTAGTCCTGGGTTTAGACCTGGGTTTAGTCCTGGGTTTAGTCCTGGGTTTAGTTTAGACCCTGGGTTTACCGGGTTTAGAGTCCCGGGTTTAGTTAGTCCCGGTTTAGTCCCGGTTTAGTCCCTGGCAATGAGTGGAATTACTGAGAAAAAAAATAATAATCCATGTAATCCATTTACTTCAACAAAGTAACTGTAATCCAATTACCACTCACTGAAACAGTAACTGTAACTGAATACAGTTACTCATCATTTGTACTCTGATTACTTAACTCCAGTACATGTAATCTGTTACTCCCCAACACTGAATATGAGTTTGAAGATCGTTTGACACAAATCGAAATCGGGATCAAAATTCGATTAATTGTGCAGATTTAAACACCCTGAACATCACGATTTTAATCCATTTAAACTCAAACTCCGCGCGGGAACAGCAAACGACAAACGGATGAGGCGCTTCACGTTTTCATTCTTATCATTTGTGTTTTTATTTCAGAGATTGTCAAAGTTCCTTCAGTTGGGTTTGTGCGACAGATTTGTGATTCCAGCCTCATTCCTCACAGGGAAAAATCCAGGGTGTTGGAGAAACTGCGGCTGCCAGGAGTCTCCCCCCTCACCGTGTCCCGGGGCCGTTCAGCTCCGTCCAGAAACACCGGACACAAAATCATCAAGACACTGACAAAGCGCCGCAATAAGTCTTTAATCTGACCGTCCCGCTCCACCACAAACTGACCGACGTGGACCTCGAACCCTCCAAGATTCAGACGGTTTCACTTGGTGGAAACCGTGTGACCTGCAGCATCAGGATTCGTTCACTCGACAGGAGGCGGGACTTTTTTTATTGAACCAATCGCTGCTGTTTGGTCGTGACGTTTGTAAAGCTCCGCTAACGAGGATAACGGGTAGATTAAGTTACTGTAATAAAAATAAAAATAAAAACAAGATGAAACGGCCTAGATAGATTCACGTGCAAAGAATCGATACCAAGAATATTGATACTGATTCTGTCACAATAACAAACTGGATTTCCTTGTGCTCTGTATCTCACTCCAGACTAAAAATTATCCGTGTGTCAGTTCGTTCATTTGTTTTTCAAAATAAAACCAAAAATTTAAATTAAAAAATGTACTTTCTTCGTTATTTGTGTCAAAAATCAAAATGAAAAAACAGATAATGATTCAATTAAGTTTTTGATTTTGTGTTTAAATAAAAAATTGAAAAAAAAAATAACGACTGTTTCCCGTTTACGTGACTTCCGTGACTGCGATGCCGGACTGAACCAGGACCAAACCAGGTCCAGGATCAGACCGGGACTGAAACCAAGACTTAGACCAGAACTGAGACCAGAATCAGACCAGAACTGAGACCAGTATCCCGAGACCGGGACCAGACCAAGATTGAAACTGGAACCAGACCAGAACCAGGACTAAGACTGGGACTAGACCAGGACCTGACAACGGTTTAGTCCTGGTTTCAGTCCCGTTTCAGTCCGACAACGCAGTTTAAGTCACGTAAACGGCCGTTGGTTTTTTTTCCATTTAAACACAAAATTGAAAAAAACAAATCTTTATTTTTTTTAATTTTTGTTTTGGAGACAAATGAAGAAAATAGTTTTTGTTTTCTAACTTTTGGTTTTATATTGAAAAACGAATGACACACGGATTTTGTCACAAATGAGAATCAGTGCAGTAAAATCAGTCCAACATGTGGAGACACTGGTGTGGTCGTGTTTTTAAAAACATAAATGTTTATTGTTTTGTAATGTCACTGATGATGATGAACCTGTTTTGGAAGTGTTAAAGTCAAGATTAAACCTGCTTTATATAATATAATATATTTATTTCTTTGACAGAGACTGTGGTCATACAGAGCGTCGCACCTGCTGCACGTTCTGCCCGACGCTTCAGCTCCTGTCCCTGGTTGGGTTTTTGAACATTTCTAATTCACTGATTGTGAACTGGGCACTTTAACGATCACAGCAGCGTTCATGATCTAAAACTATTAAGGAAAATTCAATCCCACAAAAAAAAATCTTACACGATGCATTTTCAACTAAACTTCCTCGAGCATCTTTTCCCTCAGTCGTACCTCGGCTTTAAACTTCAGGCAGGACGTTTTAAAAAGTAAAAGCTGCAAATAACAAAATTAAAAACACTTTCTCTGCCAAAATGCAAAAACCAAACGGCCCAAAGTTGTGACCAAAAAGTGTTTTCTGAAACCGTCTCCGCCTTTTCCTCATTTTAAAACCACGACTTCAGTCATTTTTAAAAAATATCCGTGATGAAATTGCAGTCATACAGAGTGACAGGCAGAACATGCAGCTGATGTGACACAGGTGGAGCGTGCGGCG